AAGCTAGTAGAAACAATAAGCTAGTAGAAACAAGTGCATCGCTACTACTAACAAGTGCCTTACTATTAGGAACAAGAAGCTGGTAGAAACAATATGGCTACGACATGCTACGACTATGGCCCACAAGGAAGACCTCTGAAGGACAGGGGCACGGACTCCACCACGGACATCTCGAGCCCTGACAACCTGTTCAACACGCGTCCATTGACTTCTACAACATGGGCGTGTACTGCCAGCCATGTCATTGCAACAAAGAAATTGCCGAAATGGCCCTGCACAGTTTGACGTGTTGACCTCGCTCGGTTTTCAAGCACTACATATCCAGCTTGGGCCAGGAAACCAGCCAATGAACTCCAGGAGGTGCTTGGAGGAAAGCCTGTGGTTTGGTCACAACGAATCAAGCTCCAAGCGTTTGGCCACAGCAGTTCGTGTGTGGTGAAGTGGCCTGTGGAGAGCGACTGAAAAGCCTCGGAGGACAATCGCATTTGTCACCACCAGGCCCATCCCCCTTCATGTCGAACCCACCCCCGTCTAGGAATCGGACCGAAAGCGTCGCCTGGAAACCACTAGATCCAACCCCAATAGCAATGGCCTCCAACCTGCTAGCGATGGCCTCCAACTTACTATTCAACATACTAATCCCGCAACTGGACTTCCATGAGTGCCAGCTCTGGACGGACAATTGAGCTAAGGCCAACGGCCCGCCCAAGGTAGTCCAGAAGCGCATACTGTCTGGATCTTCCTGCCAGGTCTGCTTTGGAGGTTGGAGTGGTCATAGCTCACGACGTAGTGCTTGCATATATATATATATATATGTACGTGATATGGCATACGCTACGTTTGAGGTGACCGTCCCAATCGATGTTCAAATCTGCGGCCAGCCCATTGCCTGAAAAAAGCTTCGGCTGGCAATGTCACATTGGTTGTGGACAGACTGGTGTGAATAAGACTCTCGTTGCAGCCCAAGTGCTTCCATTGAGTGCCTTGCAGAGTTGGATGGCTGCTGCCACTCGTATACAACAAACAGAAGGACGAAGATATGAAGAGGGGCAAAAGGATAGAAGGAGCACAAGGTGCAGCGCCTCAAAGGGAAAGGTCAAGAATTCGTACTCTAAACCCGACAGATCTTCATCTGTCCTGGCAGCCAGGGTGCATAGTTTCCACATGTTTCCACTCATGCAACTCTGCACTGAGATCTAGACCAACTGAATGTATTGACGGCAAAAGTCGTCCTGTACCAACTGGACACACAGCCGGATATCAAGAAAGCAGCATCCCAAACAGTGAATGAAGCAAGGTTTCTACAAACAAATATACTTAAACTTGTAGATATCATCAAAGTTGGGCGTGGTGTTTGTACATGTTTGTTCAGTTGTGGGTTGCTGGGTGTCGGGTTCATCAGGGTTGGAGGCCATCGCTAATAGGCTGGAGGCCATCGCGCGCTTCACTTTGATGTTGCCTTTGCGATTGCATTTCTCTGGGCCCCAGGGCCTGGTTACAATCTTTCGGCAGCAGAATGGTTTGTTTCTTCCTTCCCTGCCTTCCTGGACCTTCCTCCCTTAGTTTACTTTTGAAAGTTTCTTGCTTACACCCGGCAAATGCTTGATGCTTGTTAACTTCCTGATGCCAAACGTTTTTGCTGGACGGCGCTCTGTCAAGCATGAGTGGCCTCAAAGACATCCCATGAAATGCAGGCAAAACCTCAGCAAACATCTGAGGTCGATTCATGTTCTCTCAATGATGGGCAAACTGATTTGAGTGAGAGGCAGAGACGGCACCACCCAATGGAACTTGATCACCGACAAACTTGGGAGACATAGCAGCCATCGCAAGCCCCTTTCGGAGCACCGAATCCAAGGACGGCCTGCTTACATTGGCAGTTGCTTGATCCATGATATTCTTGGTCTCCGCTTGCAGGAGGACATGAAAATACTGAACCCCAGCTAGAAGCATGCCGCCACCACCCGACTGCAGTTCCAGGAATCCATCGGCTGCAATCGAAGATGTATTTAGAGCTCGTTCCAGTGTAGGTGTCAATCGGTCCTCTACTAGAAACCATTGCCAATGCACCTGAGGTGCCGCACATCGAGCTCCCAAGTCACCAGTCAATTGCATAATGGCTGACACTGCGGGCGCACCGTCGGCGACATCTACAATACCAGTATAAGCATAAGAGGGAAAACGCATCCTCAGCGATGCAAAAAAGGCCGGTGCCACATGCACTGGGTGCCGAGCAATGCTCTGAGGGCCGCCCGACACGCGGCGGACAATCACCGAGAAACGATGTATTCCAGCGGCCAACTGACCAGCATCCACCCGGAACTTTGGTCCAAACGAGGGGTTAGTGGTTGTAAATGGTGGGAGCTGTGCACAGAGGTCAAGCTCACCCACTTGAACAACTGAAGAACACCTCCAGGAATAAAGGAAATCTTCCTTCCGTGCTTGTGGCATTGTGGGGTCCCAAACTTCGACGTCCAACTCGAAGCTACACTGGGACGCAAGCCGAGGGCCAACAATGAAAACCTTCACTGCAGGCAAGGCTTCCACGCTCACTCTGAAAACCACACTCGGACGAGGTGCCAAAGTGGGTCGAAGATCAAACGCAGCCACTGCACGGAAGAGATGAAAAGTGCCAGGCTGAAAGCTGTAAGGTGCAAGATTCACATGGTTTGGATCAAAAGCCAGATTTCCCAGAGAAGCTTCTAAGGGCTGCCAGGACAACTGACCTGTGGACCGATATTGCCAAGTGACATTGGTTCGACCAGCACTAATGCCAGGGTCACGGTTTGCACACTGCAATGCGAAAGGTGCCTCACCTGTGGTGACTTCCAAGTGCAAATCATCACTGTGTTTTATCTTGAGATTGGTTGAGCCGACCGGACTAATTGCAGGTTCTGCCTGGGAGGTCAAGCCAACGATGTGGGAGGAGGTGACTGCTTCCGTACTATTGCCAAGATCATTCCTCACCGTCAAACGCACCTCCAATCGAACCTCGCCTTCTCGGAGATCTCCAAGTTCAGCACCGGCTCGGGATAAAATGGCTGGGCTGATGGTAATGAGAGGGGAGCTTTGCCCCGTGGCCTCTTCCAAAACACCAGCCAATAGAGGAATTCGAAACCACGAAGGGGTTCCAGGGCCAAAACCCCAGAAGAACTGGAGAGGCTGCCCTCTGGAATCTCGTGATTGCAAACCGCTGAAGACCAGCTCGCTGCAGGCTTGGGCGGTTGGAGGAATTGCTTCTAAAGAGGCCACGACAAATGGCACTGGGATGGGGGCATTTGGCTGGCCCTGTCCCTGCACACATAGCACAATCAACAGCAAAGAAGTGAAAAATTTTGGCATTCAAAGCCCTGGGGCTGGTGGAGTCATCTACCAGCCATCAGCAGGCTTACACGACCTTGGACAGGAGTTCCCTAAGAAACAAGCACACTGAAATCGCAGGAAATTACACATGCTCTCTAGGAAAGTGTGAGCTAGTTAGACTTAGACTCTCAGACCCTAACAACATGGCACGAAAGGGGCGACTCCAAGCCTTAAGCTTGAGCCACAAGGCTGAATGTTTGGTTTCGGGTCACAGGGAACATACGAAGACAAACAAAAACAAATGTGTTCATGGGTGTTCAAACGTGACTGAAGACACATGGCGCACCATGACCAATGACAAAATTAGGCAAGGAAAGCAATGTCAAGAATTCAAGGTAAGCTCAATCAACTATCACGATGGAAGCCGTCAGCAGGTGCATGATGATTTCTGTCCCACAACATGTGTGTATAAAACATTCCATGGAAAAGAATTGCCATCAAGGATGCCTCAGCCTCACCTCGACATAAAGATTCTTTACTCGGCCCCGGTCCGTCATTTCATTTCTTTAGTATAGCCGGGCTTGGGGCCACTTTTGCGAACTAGCAAACTCATTTTCCCAACAAAATTTTCTTGTTGGATGCTGGACGTCTGACATGTATTGAAAGAATGGAATGTCCCCAGGCCCACGCATGAACTGATCGTGGGATCGGTGCGGGGCGTCCTCGCCACGCACTGTGAACAGGTGCGCGGGTCACGGGCGGTTTCAATGGTAGGACTTATGATCGCTGGGCTGCCTGATCCGCTGATCCGCTGGCTGATCCGCTGATTCCTGTGGCTGCTGGCCGTGGCATGTTGATCTGCGGATTTGGCAATCCCATTAATGAGCTTTGTTCCAAGCGTCTGCCGTTTACAGTACTACACACGAGATGCAGAAACATCTCGACGCGAAAGGAGGATCTGTCTCCAAGCAGACGCCCTTTTGAGGTCGCTCAATCCAAAGCTTCGGCCGCCGGAGCTTCTTGTCGAAATATTTGGTCATTATGTGACCAAGCCATCTCCTGTAAGAAAAATAGGAAACCAAAGCGCTTCATGTGGTTTGTTTGGCGTCGATAGGTTGAAAGCCAAGTGAACGTAAACTCGCAGACAGACGTCCGGATTTCTTGTAGCCTCTCAGCATGACGTGGCAAATCAGGATGGCAAGTTTCTCGGCAAAATGCGTCCATACGATTGCCCAAGTGAAAAGGGTCGATGGCAAAGCTCATCGCCGCTGGCGGCGCAAGCGCAGCAGCAGCAGTAGAAGCCTGCATGGGAAGCAACGCAAGACAGATCCACCTGCCCAAACCCTACATTAAATTGCTTTGACGCATGGCCGGCTAGGCAAGCTGACGAAACTTTGTGGTCAATTCGCCGAAGTCATTGTTGACGCCTTTCTTTCCACTAAATTGAAAAGGGATTGATATATATATATATATAGAACTTCCCAAGATGTCAAGCAAAGGCCCGGCTGGCCTCCTTCCTCTTCAAGCAATTCTGGTAAAGCTGGCGGCTGTCATCATGAACCAAGAGCAGCTTCAGGGACGACGGCCCTTGGCGCAGCCAAGCAACAAAAGTATCTCTGATCTGGGGCAACGATTCGCTGCCATAGATCTCTTGCGTTAAAGCAATGATTCCAGGAGAAAGCCAGACACACCGTCGCGTCGGAGACATCTTTGTGTGTGGCGCAGGCGACGGCCTGCAGATCCTCTGGGCCGGAGTCTGGAAGGAGCAAAGTCGGCAAATCTTGTGTCTCTCCAACTCGTCCCGCAAAGCCTTTTGCCACTAGTCCTCTCTCTTTTGCTGCTTGAATCTTTTCAATCTTTTGAGTAGCCCGCGTTGCCTGGCACGTGGCGGCTCTCCACCCTTCTGGCGAGTGCGCCCAGCCAGCGTGTCGGTGGAAGCAGTCGTCCACAGGCAAGAAAGGGTTTTTCGCTGGTAATGTCATCCGGGTCACCTCCATTGATGAAGCCCTAGTCTACGAACGGGCTTGGTGCCAGCAGTGCATTTCGTTCTTGCCTGCCCGTCATCAAGCAGTCCTTGAAGCCCGTCGGTGATCGGCCATGACAGCTAAGGAAAAATAGCAGGCGCTTCTCTTACGTTTGTCGCCAAGCACCGTGATGTATGGGGGTTGTGGAAAACAGTGCCTTGCCCGTCCAGCCATGCTTTCGTAGCCCTGTTATTATCTTAGTATTCAGTCACGATGTAGCTCTACTTACGTCCCCAGCAGGTTTCATAGCGCCTCAGCATCCACCAACACCCTTCGAGCGAGGCCAACACGGTACCTGGAATCTGCTGGGATTTGGGCAACCCGCAACTCATCTCCACTGAGCTCTAGGATTGGACTTTGCTGGGTAGTGCTGGTCATCACAGCCATCCAATTCACCCTACTGGGAAGCCAACAATTTTGGCCAAAGCAAATGTGCCCTCTTCAAATGGTCTGCTGTGACGCGCAAAGGTCTTGCTTCCAGCTGCTCTTGCGAATACACTCCTGTGAAGATTTCAATCAAACACCAGGAGATACCCTGAAAGAACGCCGACCTGCCTCTGCCACAGCGCGCCTCCCATGCCAGCTCCTGACACTGCGTCGCCTTTCTCTCGTGCAACGTGGCCCTGCACATTGAGGCCTCCTTGAAAGGATCTGTGCCATTGGGCTGCGTCTTCGGAGAACTCTAGGTTCATGCGCGCGTTCGCAAAATAGTCTGTGACTCTCTTCACTGCAGGAGCAAGCGCAAACACTGGCGGGATGACAAAAGACCTGTTGGCAACTCAGGCACAAAGCCTGTTGCTTCAGCGGCATCTCGGCGAAAGCGAAGCCTGCTCATGACGAGCTTGACAGGGTAGCCTCCGAAGAGATGAAATCTGCAGTAAACTCTCTTGCGTTGCTGGTAGTCCTGGGGCTTCTGCACGGGCAGCCTCAGTGGATTGGGCCTCTTTGGGCTACCCCAAGCATATCTGCCACATCTGGCGTCAACGGCGCCCACAAGCGACGAGGCACTCCTGCGCACAATTGTCTTGGCCGCGCGGGCTGCAGAGCCAAATTGAAGCAACTTGTTCAAAGCGCTCTGATGTGGGTTCAATTTAGCGTTTGCTTTGGACGCCTTTCAACCTTCATCTGACAACCGCCCAAATGCAGTGAGGAAGTCGTGGGTCTCCTCCAAGTTGCCAAGAACGCCAAACCATTGCTGCCCTTGCCACTGCCCAGGCTCACCAGGAAGACCCTTGGCATTTTCCAGCTGCGTGAAGTCAGCACACCGATGGAACCCCTCTTCAGGAGTAGCGCTTGTAGACAAGACTGCTGCTTTTCGCTTGCGCAACAAAGCCAAAGCTTAAGAAAAGAGCGCAAGTTGAGAAAACGCGCGGCGCAAAGCCGGTAAAACCTCTAAGAAGCTTGAGACACGTCAGCCCCGCCTGCTCATTGCTTGACCCTGCAGCTCTGGCTGCCTGAGCTGCTGCGCTTCAACTTCAGCGCGCGGAGGGCTTCGGCGACTTGGTTCGATAGAATCGGCAAAACTTGTCACGCTACTCTTCCTGGTCAGCGGGTAGTTGACGTTGATGGTGAAGGGCATCACTGGACTAGGACTGGTTGGAAGAGGGACGCACGCGCTCCGTTGGTGAGAGCGCGCATCAACGACAACATGTTGGCAGCACGGGTCTGGCAGAACTGGCGCCCCAGCTGGGTCAACAGCCCGGCAGGCTTCCACAACTTACCCACGGTGTCCCACATGGATTTCATGGCCGTCAAACACTGACGGTCGATTTCGCGACCCACGTTCTTGAAAACTAGTTCGGTTAGTACCCAGAGCTTTTCCGCTGCATCAATGACACCAAGACACAAACCACCCAAAAGGATCAGCACTTACTCTTGGAAAAACATACCCCGAAAGATGTCTAAAGCACCCTGCTGCCCGAACAACCCGTGCCACATGGCGCGAAAAAAACTTTTGCCAAGCACTGGCGCGCGCGGGCAAGTGCATCGCAAAATTTGCCCCAAAGAAGGGGAGTCCAAAGATCCTGCTAGCACAAGTGGCTCGTCTGTTCTTGGCGTTTCCATCCATGACAAGGACATCGCATCGCACGCCTGCTGCGTGGCCCTGTCCATGGCGTCCCTTGTGAAATGTGCCTGGAGAACTGGCACCAGTTCTAGTAACTCTTCAATGTTCTTGATGGAACGTGGGCCGTCACTGATGAGAAGACGTAATCTTTCAGTTGGTAGGAGGCATTCTTGACGATATCACTTTCACTGATTGAACTCGCACGTCGCCGAACTAGTCGCGCGCGAGCATTCGAAGCAGGCCATGAGTCATGCGAAGCACAAGCTGAGGTAAACCGAACATGGGTTGGCGAAGGAAACTCAAGCTTTAGCGCGCAAGAAACTTGTGGCCAAAGGTTGGTGAGCTAGTAATCCATTGAATTCATGCGCGCACGCTGACCCTTCTCCCAACTAGTCACTAGTCAGCCGATCTGCGGGCTGATCCGCTGATTCGCTGATCCACCGGCGATTCGCTGCTCCGCTGCCATGGCTGATCCGCTGATCCACCGGCTGATCTGCTCGCTGATCCCCTGCCTGGTCCGCTGATCCGCTGACCCGCTGATCCGCTGATCGGTGGCAGGGTGATCATTTTCACCCTGGAATGCAACTAGAATGAATTGGCAGGGCCACGTCAGGTGTGTGCTAGGCTGTGGGCACTCAATTAATTCCATTGAAGAATCAAAGCGCAGGCTTCAAAGCGCATTGGCCATAGCTGCGTTAGGGTGCGCTGGGTTGCCTTGGGCGGGGCTTCAAAACGCATGGAGGATTCCATGCGATTGCAATTTCTGTTTCTAGTAGAGGTCTAGGGAGAAGCGCGGAAGGCCTGGTAGAGAAAAAGGTCTGGTAGAGAAAGCACAGGAAAATTGGAATTCAAAAGGCAAGCATACTTACAAGCAAAAATGCATCTTAATGAAATGCACAAAATGATGACCAGGAACGTAACGGAACACAGGAGCTGTGAAAGCTGGCTGT